TTATAAATAATTTATTTGTTCACTACAAACTAAAATGACTTTTTCGTGTTTTTGCTTAGAGATAATTTTTTCTTATTTTTGTAAAAAAAATTTTATATTAATAACGCATAATTACATTTGATTATGTTGCTAAATTACAAAAGAGATATTATTTTTTGCAATTACAATTACAAATCACAAAGAAAGTTGCAATTACAAACAAACTTTAGTGCAAATTTTTGATGTTTTTTTCCAAAGAAAAAAATTTGTTGTTTTTTGCAAAAAAAAAAAATTGTTTTTATTTTTGAGAATTTTACAAAAGAAATAATAATTTTTTTTCAATTTGAAATTGTTTATAATTTTTAAATGTGTTTTTATTCACGTGTATTGCAGTTATATAATATAATTTTTTTAAATATTACATTTGAGTTGTCATTTCTACTATTCTTCGTCGGCCTTTGACGTAATTTACAAAATCATACATTAGAAAAGTAAAATTCGCTTTAAAAAATCTTAAAAGTGCATACTTGGTTAAATACTTTATTTTAAATGTAATTTAAGTTTTAAATATTTTTTATTAGATTATATTCTTACCTACTACACATTTTCTGTTCCACCGCCGCTGTACATATTTGTTTTCAAATTAAATATTATTTTTTAAGCTTAATTGTTATTTATTTACAGCTAAAATTACAAATCAATATTTTTACGCTAATTTAATACTTTACACAAGCTACAGACGTCGTATAACCGTTTTGTTGTTGTAGCGTGTATTTAAATTGCCTTGCAATACTATAAGCAATATTTAGATTTCAATGATTTCCTTTTCATTTACTTTGCTTTAGTAAATATTGGAGTTCGAATATTTGATTAAAAATATCTTAAATACATTGCTTATCGCTTTTGGTTCGAAATTTAATATTTACATATTTATAATTTGCAATCGCACATATTCGATTTCAAAAATGATATTGAATTTTGCCCAATTAATTTTTTTTTTTTATTTGGGTGGTGATTGATGAGTCGGGCTGTAGGGCTATCAATAACATCTAACTTCTGTTAAAATGTGCTCTTGTGAGTGTGTGAAATGGCATGTACAGTTATACTACATATGTGTGCTCTGAGATGGCTATTAATGTTTTGGTGTTTATTTAGTGATKACAGAATTCAAACAGTATTTGCAAAGCTGCGAAATTACTGATTTCCACGAATGATAATGCTGCTTATGTGAGTGGTGAGATATATTGTATATATTTTGTATATATTATTAATAATACATACTGTCCTGCAAGTGTACTTATCCTGTGCATGATTTGGGTGTTAAATTTTTTTTTTTTGTACAACCTGTTTTATGTTATTTCACATTTTCAAAACTCGCTCACTTCATTAAAATCCAAAATGTTCTCATTTTAAGCCGCTTGCCCAAGAAAATAAATATTTCAGTAAACTGTGTGCTTAAAAACTTTAAAGCTTTTACCAATACTTAAAGCTTTGTGTCTCAGAGCTTTAGAGCTTTCTCAATTTTCAAAATTTTGTGCTTAGAAGCTTTACAGCTTTCATCTGTCCTTTAAACTTTATGCAAAAAAAACTTTAGAGCTTTTATCAGGCCTCAGAGTTTCATGTAAAAAAAAAAGCTTTAAGACAGTTAATAAAGCATAACGCTTAATTCTAAATTAAGTGCTCGTGTCTTCTTTAATCAAAAAATGTGTTTGAGAAATGAAAGCTTCAAAAGCTCGAACCATCCTTTTGAGAGATTAATATAGTTTTCTCAACTAGTTTTCGATTTCTAAACAAAATTAGATCCAAATTTTCTCCTAAATAATTTTCTTTGAAAAAAAAAAAAACACTTATCATAAATAACAGATTTGAGCTTTTTTAGATTTCTTGAGTCGAGTGAAATTTGAGTTCATTGCAGGACTGCTGATATTTTATTTAATTTGATTTTGAGATATTTATATATATTTTTTGTATGGCTATGACTTCTGGTTGAAATATTGTATGCTTTAATTGTGACACATATATAGTGATGGCTTGATTAATTGCTTGATGATTTGTGATTCATGTCGATAATATATTTGTATGAATATCTAGGTATATTTGCTCTGCCACAAATTAGTATGTTTTTGTATTTACAATGTACATAAGATGAAGTTGTTTAGGGTTTCGAAATATCTCTTCTTGAAGCAAATATAGGCCTGTAATTTATTTCAAATAAAGTTCATATGTTAATGATTTAGTGAAGAAGAGTGTTTATCAGTGTCGTGAATAATCGATTTATTGTGATAGTGATTAACTATGCGACTTTTAGTTAAACGATTTTAATCGCCTAATTTCTATATTTTTATAATGTTGAAAATATTGCTACGGAAACATTTTCAATAACTTGACAAACGGAGCTAATTAGCCGATCGGTGTATTTTTTGGATTAATCGCCTTTTTAAGATCTCTAAAATTTAATTTGTGTCAGTTGAGTAAACTAAAATTAATTTTAGATTAGTCGATTTATCTGGAATTATACTTAGATTAAATGATTAACAAGAAATTAATCCTCAGATTAGTCGATTAATCTAAAGACGATTAATTAAAGAAAATCTTATATTAATCGTTTAATCTGAAATTAATCTTGCATTAGTCGATTTAACTAAATTTAATCTTAGATTAGTCGACCAATCGAGAATTAATGCTAGATTAAATGATTAACAAGAAATTAATTTTAGATTACTCGGCTAAACTAAAATTAATCTTAAATCGTTCAATTTAAAATTAATATTCGTTTAGCTTCCAATCTGAGACTAATCTTAGATTAATTGAGTAATCTGAAATTAATCTTATATAACCCGCTTGATCTTATATTAAATCGAGAATAATCAACTAAATTTTTAGTCGTATACAATTTAGTGTACCGATTTGCTACTTGTATGATTGCCTATGTACTTCTAATTTCACAGTTACTAATATTTTATTAATGCGTTTCAATTTAGGTGTCTTATTTAAATGCGTTTTGGTGCTTATACTGCAGCAAGCTTAATACTATTTCATTAAATTTGTATTGAATTATTGTTAATACTAATTTGCGCGACTCATTTTGATTTTCGTTTAAGTTACCTATAGATTTTTTGGGTATTTACTGTAATTGTTTTGTTGTTATTACAAATAATGAAGCTTTTATTCATATTATTTTCCCATATGCAATACTGTTTAAAAGAACATAATTCTTCATTTAAAAATGAGAAGCAAAATAATCCACAAAACTTCGAGAGTTACATGTGTGAGTGTCTTAAATTTGTCTTTCTATATTTGTGAAAGCTGCAGAGCACTAAAAGTAAAAGTAAACTTCCACTTGAGCTTTTCGAAAACAAGAAATATGTGGTTTAAACTGTTCAAGCTATGTAAGGGAGAGACGGAAAGAGCTTCAAATCGAGAGAGATTTCAAAAATAATGTGCTATTGTATCAAATAGAGCCGTGTATTCAAGTTTTCTGTTGGGAGTAGGATTTTAAAACATGAAAAACATATTTTTGTTGAAAAGTAATTAAAAATTTTTAGTTTCCCATTTTCCTATCTGAAACTTGATCTAGAATATCTATTCGTTTGATTCTCAACACAATAATTTCCGCCTTTCTGGATTACACGAAGTCATTCTCACAAGCTTTCTGAATATATTTATTGACAAAAGTAACTTAATGGAATTAAATTTCGAACTTTTGCATGTCTTTGAGTTTATTTTGATTAAAACTACATTTTACCGATATATATTTCTATATCTATTACACTTAGTTAAATACAAAATCCCACGCCATCCACACTAAGCTAACGCCATATCAATATGTATCTAAATATTAAAAACAAAAAAACCTTCTAAACGCACCTTTATCATTATCGCTTAGAAAACCCTAAACATCACATATCTGTTTCCTCTTTCGAGCAGTTCGAATCGTAGTTTAATATTAAATTAGATTTAATCACTAGTTCTCACGCACTCAGTTCGAATTGCTGCTGAGCAATTGTGTTGGCAACGCCGTGGCGGCTCAATAGAACCCCTTGCCGTTGCTTATCATGCTCAACACCGATGCACCCAATTTCCAACTAAATCACATTAGTCATCATTTCAGTGTATTGTAAATATTGTCAGCCACCTCCTCCAATTCGTTTGCAATGCTCGCCGCTGTAGTGCCAATACCACCGCCATTGCTGTTGCTGTTGTTGTGCATGTCACTGGCCGTTGCCGAGTTGCCCTCCAGCGCCACTGTGGTGACATGCGCGCGACTTTTGCTGCCCACTTTGCCACGTCTTGTTCCGCGTTCGCGTTGTTTGTCGTTGTGCAGCGGCTCATCGCCCAAATATACTGTGTGATAGCTCACCGGACTGACAGAGTTGCAATTGATTTGTACGCGACTGATCGCCAGGCCTGCTGGTGGCGCTATTGCGCTAACCACAGTTTGACCGCTCGTCGACTTGCTGAGCGCGCTGGCAATGCTCGCGCTGCGTGCACTACCGTTAAACGGCTGTGCAATTGTGGTGTATGTTAGCGATGCGTAATCACCGTAATCGTCCGAGATCTGCGTGGAGTGTGTTTCAGCCGAAAAAGTGTCACGCGTGGCTGATGTGCAAATGCCGCCCATAGCCGAGACCGTAGTGCCAGCTGTGGCTGCGGCATTGTGGCTAACATTGTCGTGACATATCTCCGCATAGATATTCTCTTTGTTGTAGTCGATCATGTTGAGCGCCTGGCAAATGTTGCCCGCTGGATTCTCCGATGCTGATTCGTCACTTGAGAGCACTAGCGAATCGCGTACGCTCGAGTAGGGCRGGTCGTCAATTAAGCTGGTGGGTGTGAGAGGTGACGCGAGCGCAGTGTGATTGCTTGCATGGCCCAGACCGCCGATGCCGGCAAGCAGTGAAAGCCCGCCAGCGGCACGTCTGCCAGTAACGGGTTCGCCGATATTAAAATCAAGTCGTTTGTCACCCAATGTTGGTTTCGCTGCTAAGACGCCATTGTTGCCATTGTGCTTCAGTTGCGCCAGCGAACGCTTGTTGTCGTGTAATTGCATTTTTTGTGGTAATGAGAAATTCAAGAGTTGATGTAGACTTGAGGAGGATTTGCTGTACTGCCGCGTTTTGACATGAAACTCATTATAAAGCTTTTCGGTTATAAAAGACTGTGGCATGAGATCCTGATTCTCGAGATCTTCAAGATCTGTGCCCGCCTCTGAGATGGTATCAGTGTTAGGTAGCAAATCAGGTTTGCGTGCAGCGGCACCACCGCTAATAAGCTCAATATCCTGCAGCGACATGGATTTGGTTATCATTTTATTACCGCTCGTTTCGACTTTCTTGAATTTTTCATCGATAGTCGCCAAAGTTGTGGTCTCCGTATCCGAACAACCGATGTCCGAAGCGCCGCCACTTGGTTCCGAAATTGATTCGTGCGCGTCTTGTGGCTGTGTATTTGGTTTATCGCCGAAACGTTCCTGTAACAGCTTTGACATATCCGAATAACGTTCCATGCTCATGCGCTTCGCCTGCACATCCAGTTCGTAGGAGGTCATTGTATGCGCTGCATGTTTGTCCTGTTTGCGGAACCATTTCTTCTTTGTCGACTGAAAAACTTTCATCTTATCACTAATGCGGTTGGTGCTGCTTGCTGCTCCTTCAAAGGCTGCTTGTGCGGCTGCTTCTTTTGCCTCCAGATTAGCGAGATCCGATTTGCTGAGAAAGATTATGGAGTCTTCCTTCTCATGTGCTGGTATTGTGGTCTTCTCACGTCGCAGCAGCTTTGGTAGATGTAGTGGTTTCAGAATTTTCAAACCTTCACCACGACTCTTCGAACCAGAGCGCTCCGGACGGTGCAGTATCTCCACCTCAACCATCTTCAGAAATTGATCACAATTGAATTGACAGAACTTCAATATATTTTGCACATTGGGATTTGCCAGCATGCGTTGTTCGCTCTCGAAACCCAGTGAGCTCTTCAACAAATTCATCTCTTTGGATAGATGCAGCTTACGTAAATGCAGTGGACTTTGCACTTCCACGTCCTCGATGGGACAGGCGATCACCACATTCTCAGTAGTTATGTGCGTAATGCAAACATTCTCGGGTATCGCGCTGCTGCAGCCATGCGGTCCGGAGATGTAACGTAGCGTTAAAGGCAACTCCCGTTGTGGCGTTATCAGCGTCGTAATGCGATGCACACAATCCGGATTGACTTTTTTATTCGCGTCATTGCCAATACCACCAAGTTTCTGCAGTATTTGTGGTATACCCGGTTCGATCTCGTAAAATTTGCCCTTCGTGGAGAGCGACACATACAACACCTGTCGATTCTCATTCAGCAATTGCGCATAGCGTCCCTTCTCCTTCTCACGCCCATGATTGTTATTCGCTTTTGTTGTAACACCACCGGTACAACCGATTGTCGTGTGATCCTGCTTGCCATCTTCGAAAACGGCTAGCAGTCGAAAGACTTGACCACCTCGCGCTGTCGTCTTCACATACTGTGGGCGATTGTTGGTCGGTGGTGGCGGTGGTTGGGTATATATTGGTATGCAACCCTCTGTGGGTGGGTTATTTACGTTGGGTTGGGATTCCGTGAAGGCGGGCATATTATCGACTGAGACGAATTTGTAAACACGTTCGCGCACCAACTGTATCAGTGAGGTGTAGAGCGTCGCTGTGGGTATGCCCTTGTCATTGAGCAGCGAAAAGTAGCCTGAAATGAGAAGAGCGGAAAGTGAGTATGATTTAATTAATAACATAGCTTAAAATTGCTTTCAACTGAGAAGAAAATTAGAAGATAATAGTTCGGGGTTTTTATAACGATCTAAAGTAGCAGAAATAATAATATTGTAGCTTTTTTGTGCATTTCAGGAACCAATTAGTTTGAAGAAACTGGTGAGCTTTAATGGGTAGCGAGATGCTGTCAGTCCAGATTCTATTAAATATCCGGTTATTGGATAGATTTGAAACCGAGAACAGTTACAGAAAGCCAATATAGAATTCAAAGCACAAAAAGTAAGTATTTCATCAATAAATCACTAGAGATTTATATGTGTTTGCATATGGTATGTGTCTAAGCTAGGAGTATAGTATTTTTCGAAGTAACAGTTAACCAGTTCGGTGTAACTTGGGTAAGTTAGTGGTGTGAGACAGTGCTAAAAATACTTTTACTAGTGAGCTTTAATGGGTAGCGAGATGTTGCTGTCCGTCCATATTCTATTAAATATCATATATTAAATATAATATATTACAGAAAGGCAATTAGGAGTTTCAAAGTCCAAAAAGTAAGAAAAGTAATCTGATTGCCACTAAATTCCATCAATAAATCTTTAAAGAACTATATGTGTTGGTAGATGGTGTGAGTAACCTGAGTAAATTAGTGGTGTGAGTCTGTGATAGAATTCCCTTAATTTAAGAATATTCTTTCTACTTCATTTGCCCATCACTATCGATATAGGATTTTTCAATGGTTTATATAATAGTCGGAATAGAAACTATGTTCTGCAATTTGGAGTGTTTGTTGGGTAAACCAATCATCCTTTTATTTTTCCTTATTGGTTATATTACATTAACATTAACTTACATAAGGCGCGAATGTTGCTGCAACATTAAATAAATTGCAATTAGCACGTGAAATGAAAATGTTAAATGGCGCATAAATATGAAAGGACGCCAAAAGATACTGAAATAACCAGAAGTTACTAATTTCGTAGCGTGGCTTAGAATTTCCTGTACACTGAACAGGATAATGAAAGTCCAAAAAAAAATGTAATGAGTATTATTAGTGAATGAACTGACCTTTGCACTTATACACAATCAATTCATTCAGCGATGTGTTTGGGGAGCTCCGCATTAACACCATCAACAGAAAGCAATGGCGATGGCTAACTGGGGGATAAAATTTAATTACGAGGTAAATAGCAGGAAGGTGAGAAGCACTGAGCGAGGATAAGTAGCAAATACATAAGGAAAGAAAAAGTGCACGTTATATAATTTCGATCACCAACAATAATGGAAAAAATATAAACAAACGAAAAAGATGAGTTCCACTACAGCGCTTTCACTCAAGCAGTAAGACAGACCTCGCATTGCATGAAATGCTTCACTTAAGAGTCAGCATGCAAATGCAAGAAAATAATTTTAAGAATCACAATTTGTTTAAGATATTCGCAATTTTTTTTTTTTTATTAAAAAGTGATTGGATATTAATGACGATGGTTTAAAACTTGCATCTCAGCATGAAAAGTGCAGCTAATGAAGCGATTTCATAGCGAAGTCCGAGGCGCTTAAAACAATGTAAAGTATACTTTTTGTCGTTAAAGGGTGGAACTTTAATTGAAAATATGCGGAAGAAAATGAAAACGAAAAAAATGCTAAAGAGAGTAAGAAGAGAAGAAAAATATCCCAATCTATTAACTTTTAGAGTAAGCTTTGCATATTTTCTGTCGTTTTTAGTTATAATTTTTAGTTAAGATTTATCCAATATAATGACCTATTTCGGCTGCAAAAGTACAGTGGTGTTATTATAGGGTTTGTGACATTAAAAGCTTTAAACTTTGTGAGAAGTTTAAAGCACTTCTAGCTTTATAGGGAATGCCGGAAAATTGTTTTTTGGAAAACAACGGTTTTCTAATATGTATCTCTCTAGTTACTTAATCTAACCTATAAGTTAATCTTATAAACTTTAATTTACTTTTATAAATTACACTTTTAGGTAGCTTTTAAAAATCCATGGCATATTTTAGGCGTCCATTAATCACTATGTTATACTTAATTTCAAACGAACATTCAAATAAGGAATTTAAAATAGTGCACATAAATAATAATTTCTTAATTACATTTGGTTGCCTTAAAAGGCAAATGCGAAACCACAAACGGCGACAGATAGACAGACAGACATCTTTCTTATGTGTTGTCGTCATATTTGTTTGCGTTATCATTCACTTTTGCGTGCAAATTAAGTTTATGAAGTGGCATTTCCACCATTTTAATTTTTTTTTTGTCATTCTCATGCAGCAAAAAAATATGCAACGAAAATATGAAGCGCTGAAAAGCTTATAAAGCTTTAGCGTCACAACGGCATTAAATGACAGAAAATAAAACTTCGAGCGAAAAATTCCTGCTACACAGAGAAACGCATAAAAAATTAAGAGCGCTGGAAATCTGCAGATAGCACAGCAAGCACAAAAAAAAAAAAAAGCATCGCGACTAGTGCTGGAGACATGGCAAACAGACTCTGATTTTCTGTTCCATTTTACGTTCACACTCATTTTCTAGCGTGTATTTTTTAAAATTGTATTTTTTTTTTGTGAAATTTTCGCTTGAGGCAAGCAGTAGCGTTGCCGCCAAAAGGATATACAGTATTTAATTTAAAAGGAGCTTTGACGTATTTGTGCTATTATATTTTTGATATTTTAAAATAAGCTGACATTTTCTGGAGTTATTATGAGTTTTGGCGTCACATGGCGAGTGGAAAGCAAACTAAACTCGTTAGCTTTTGCGCTAAAATGGTTTTGATAGTATTAAAAGTCAGTTGTTTAAAACACGTTCTGAACAAAAACAAAGCGAAAATATCATAAAGTTTTGAAATAGTAGTATTTAATTGGAAATAATCTTCATTCCAATACTTCTAAATGTACACTTTTTCAAAAATAAGATATTTTCAACATCATCCAAACTCATCAAAATTTCTTCTAAATGAAAGCATGCTTTTGGGCGATGATGATATTGCTCAACAATGACCCCGTTAGAACTACTAATTGGTTATCCACGAAGTAATTTTTTAAATAAAGCAACATTTTTATAATTTTCTGGTATTTCACACGCAAAACTAATACCCCTCCTATATATCCAAGTGGTTGCCATCCGTCAAAGTTAATATTCTTTTTCTTCAGAACAAGAAAAAACCCGTTTTGACAATAGCTTAAATCCATGAATTAAACTTCGAATTGTTAGAGTTTCCTCCGTATTCACCAGATTTGACCCTCAGCGACTTCCATTTGCTTCCAGATTAAAAAAATGTATCAGTGGCAAATGTTTTTCATCACAACGAGACTTAATTGAAGCGTATTTTGCAGACCTTTTGGATTCCCACTTCTGGGATGGTATCCACAGAATGGAGGATCGTTGATGCAAGTGTTTTCATATTCCGGAAGATTATACTGAATAAAAAAGTGGATTTTGAATAATAAAATTATGACTTTCTTATCAAACGACAAAACCTATTGAACAAATTGGTATATAACTTAACTTGATCGAAATAAAATATAATAAAAATTGGTACCCCACAAGAAGTAGTCTAGTGTTTTTAAATAACAACTTCCTGGAGGACATTCAATGTCACAATTTCTTGAACAAATCGAATCTTCAATCTTATAATAATTTAATTGAGATGAAAAGTTGATTTTCATAAAAAATCGTTTCGTTTTCAAATTCTTCCAAGGCAAAATCAGTTAATTCACGATGTTAACGGTGGCCCAATGGCTTCAGTTCTTGAATGAGAACAATTTTATACCGATGCAAGCACAAATGCTTTCTCAAAACCTGCCAGGTAGTGGTTTGAGACAGCCCAAATTCTTGAGGACGTATTGTAATCGACAAATTGCGGTCTTCAGCAACACTTGCCTGATCGGCTGAAATATTTTCATTACTTCGAGTGGTTTTTTATCTTATGGCACTTGATAATTATGCAAAGACAATGTTCGCTCGAAATTTTGAACAATTCGACGAATAGCAAGCAAGTGGATTATTTTGATAAAAAAAAATTGAATAATCTGTAAACGTTGTTTTTGAATTTTAAACATTGCTGAACACAATGTAATGAAATTACAAAACAAGACATATTAAAAAGGCCAAAACGACACTTAGAAATCATATCATTCATATTGGAAACCACGGTAATACTACTACTACCATCTATATGACTTCTATTATAACTATTAGTTAATGAGATATATCATTTTTGTGAAGCAACTTGTTTTAGTTTACAAAAAAAAAAATGGATCATTAAGCATTTCGTGTGTTAACAAAGCATTGTTAATAGTGTTGAACTTTGTCCCAGGGAAATCCACCAGTGAAAAGATATTTGCCAAGCTGGAAACAGACGAAATGAGCACCGAAGACAATGACGCTCCAAAGAGACGAAAGCTCTGTGCAAAGTGGGTAACTCGCAAGTTCATAATCCAACAAAATCAACGAATAACTGATTCTGAGAAGTGTTTGAGTGCTCTTTAGTCTTAATAAAACCGATTTTTTGCGTCGGTGTGTGACAATAGAAATATAACTCCATCATTTCCCACTGGAGTCGATAGTCATGCATGCAGAGATGCACGTGGTATAATACATACTCAACGACTGATTACTGAGCCATCTTAAATAATTTTTACAAATATGAATTTTGAACAAATGCTTATGATTTGCAATATAATTTTTGTATTTATGAGTTTTAATAATTTTAATATAAAGAGAATAAAAGGATCCTATGTCCTTACCCTAGTTCTAAGCTACCTGCACACCAATTTTCAGTCAAATCGGTGCAGCCGTTCTTCAGTTATAAATGGTGTAACTAACGCAAATTTCCTTTATATATTTAGATATAATTGCATATAATGTCTCTAACTAAATAATTCATATAAGAATATTTCCATGAACGAATGCATTATTTAGAACCATGACCAAACACAAATATTTTTTCTATGGAAATTTTTGGTAGTT